TTGTGGACTGTATACATGTTTTCTAATTTGACTGGTGAATTAATTATCACAACAATAAAACTGTTAGGAAGAGCTAAATATATGAATTATGTTGTTATGATATATACATATAATTTTACTATTGAGAGACATCAAATAATCCATTCCAAGGAAGAAACGAATATATTTTATTTATTTGTTATTTAATTAAATAATAGAGGAAAAGGCGGCAGCAACGTCAAACAGGGACATAGTACATCAAAAGGATTTTATTCACTTATATATTTCTTGGTTCTTGTTTGTTATATAATATAATTGAACTTAAATAATAACTATTAATAATATGTATTATATCTTTATAACTGTATAAATATATAATACAGTATATTATAATTAATATATAATAATAATATGTTTTGCGTTAGGAAAAATAATCTAGGGTAGGAACTAATATATTTTGTGCATATTTTAAACGTGGTTCCGCCCGGACACCCATAGATGTTGGACGGGGAAAAGATGGCGGCGGCCATGGTACAAATGTCATGTTTGTACCGTGGGATGCTAGCGGTAAGGGCCACTGGCATCCGACCGCTGATTCCAGGACTTGTACCATCTCACTTCAGAGCGTTTTCCATAAAGAAAGAACCGGAGTTAGAGGAAAATCCGTATTATAATAAATATGAAGAGAAGATCAGGAAACTGCGCAGGTGAGGTGCTGTCAAATGCCGCTGGTGTAGTTTCGATATAATATGTCAAATGTCAAGCATTAATCTAGTTTGTATTCCTGTAACATCAGTTCAAACCCTCAAGAATATAAAGCCCGACTAGAGAAGCGCAGTGAGAAGAAGACAGAGCCGCTCGGACAGTCCAGACAAGCTGAGTTCGTGAAGTACATGGAGAAAGAGGTGAGCACTGATGACATGAACACATTTACAGTTATAATTATTATTATTAATTGTTTTAGGTTTTTTTTTTTAGTTATTTATTTATTTTTTTGGTAAGAATTCAAATACAATTTGTTATGATTTAAACGCATGTTCTATTTTTTTAAAAACTTTAATAAATTGTTAATAAATTGTATAAATATATTTGTAGACATAATATAATGTATAAAAGACAATTTGCTCATGTTGTCATATTTGTAGTCGGACAAACGTGGGAAAGCAGGAAGCGGGGGCTTTACCAAAGATATGGTAAGAAATTAAACCTCATTAGTATTTAATTCCATATTATGATATTGAGACTTTTTGATTTTTTTTCAACGTTTTTTTGTTATTTTATAGACATTAGGATCTATTCTTAACCTTGATATGGTTCAGGAGAAATCTGGATCTGAAATTGCAGAGGTAAGACAATTATTCATAGAGCGACACACATTTTCAGTCTGCACTGAACTGTAAAATAATTTGTAGGAAAATTAAATAGACCACCTCACAAAAAGTCCTTTACTTTGTTGTGCAGCTTTGGATGCAGCACTTCTCGAAGAAAGACACAATTAGTGCCGTCATACCAGTGAGTTCGGTTTTATATGTAAACTCTTATCAGTCTGTTACAATACTAATAGAATAAACTGATTTTGCTTTATTTCAATGCAATTCAATCTATTATGATGAGAAGTCAAATTTAGAATTGATTTTGTCATCATATTTATAATATTGTATATTATAATTTTATATTCATAATATTTATAATGTTTTCAAGAGATGAATAACCTTGTAATTCTCCATTATAGGGCTCAACATTTGATATTATTTTTGGCCGTGCCAAATCTTGCCCAACGGTAAGAATTTTAATACTTTGTAACAGAAAAGGTGAAGTACATTTTTAAAATGCTCAAGTAAAATGTCATACCACCAAATAATAAAACCTGCAAAATGCTGAATGGCCACATAGTGGCAGTCAATGCTTTCAATAGTGGTCTCAAGATTGAGGATTTTCAGTGTCTTTTTGGATATCTTGATCAAATCTGTGGCAACCGAGAGAATATCAGAATAATGTGATATTCGGTTCCATTAATGGTTTTCACCATATATGGTAAAAAAATGGATGATGTCTCTACTTCCTTCCACTGTAGAAAAATTAGGCCAAAATATCCCAGTAACAGTCATTCACGATTACATAATTTGGAGCCTGACTCTGCTAGTAGTGATCCTGAGATGTGTGATCCTGCTCACACCAGACTCAATCGCAAACACGGCTTGTAAATCATAATGTAACACCCCATTTTTATAGCATCAAATAATTGGGATAACTAACTAAAACCAAACTTATTTGAAAAAACAAACTAACACTTTAACATATGTCAGTGTGATAAGAATTACCCAAATGACAAAACCTATCTTTGGAAAAAAAAATAATTTGATTTTATATTTTGGTTTATGTCTCATTTGATTACATGGAGAGGGCGGGAATTATGATTTTTTTTTAATAAAAACATATGTTAAGTGCAGCCAAGAAAAACTGTCTTTATTTTATTTATTTTTATAAAAACATGTTTTTTTTTTCAGGAATTAGTTTTTAAGTAACTTAAAATGTCAGGAGATACATTGTTGACATTGTTAGAAAGGGGTGTTTTCGGCAGCTGAATGTAACTAATTAAAATCAAGTAATCTGTAAGTTACTAAGTTACTTTTTAAATCAAGTAATCTGTAAAATAACTAAGTTACTTTTTAAATCAAGTAATCTGTAAAATAACTTAGTTACTTTTTAAATCAAGTAATTTGTAAAGTAACTAAGTTACTTTTTAAATCATGTAATCTGAAAAGTAACTAAGTTACTTTTTAAATCAAGTAATCTGTAAAGTAACTAAGTTACTTTTTAAATCATGAAATATGTAAAGTAACTAAGTTACTTTTTAAATCAAGTAATCTGTAAAGTAACTAAGTTACTTTTTAAATCATGAAATCTGTAAAGTAACTAAGTTACTTTTTAAATCAAGTAATCTGTAAAGTAACTAAATTACTTTTTAAATCAACTAATTTGTAAAGTAGCTAAGTTACTTTTAAAATAAAGTAATCTGTAAGGTAACTAAGTTACTTGTTCAGAGTAACTGTGGCAACACTGTACAGATTACATGTAATCAGTTACTACCAAGCACTGCTCACCTGCATTTATATTGCCTTAAACTGAAATCCACTCAATATTTATAAGTTTTGTCAATCTTTGTGCAGTTTCTGTATGCTCTACCCCAGAAGGAGGGCTATGAGTTTTTTGTCGGCCAGTGGGCTGGTCATGAGTTGCACTTCACATCTTTAATTAATGTTCAGGTATTACATTTTTTCAATTTTTTATTATAAATTCCACGCTGCTTTCTGGTTTACGTACTAAAAATAGCTTCTGTTTCAGACTAAGGGGGAAAATGCACCCAGCCAGCTTATTTTATACCACTATACAGACCTGCAGAAGGACAAGGGCATCGTGTTGATGACTGCTGAGATGGATATCAAATTTGTGGTAAGTTCAATGAAGTTACTAAGTAAAACAAACAGCAAACTATGTACATTTTAATTCTTTTTTTTTTTTTTTGTAAACTTCTTTCAGACTGTCCACCAGGCACAGTGCTTGGCCAATCAGGTGCAGCTGTTTTACGGATCGCAACGGCTTGAGACTTTCCGATTGGTCGAGAACTTCAACCACCATCCAGAAGAGTTTAAACACATGTCTGTGATAGCAGAGCTAGAACAGAGTGGTATTGAACCAGCAGTCACTACAAATTAATCCTAAAGCATTAAATATGGCGTTGCCTAATGTGGACTGTCGCCTTGGGAAAGAAACGCTCTGTAACTATGTATGGAGTCCTGTAAGAGTCTCTACAGCCAGATAAGAAGATTATATGTGTTGCCTTTCAACAGACATCAACAGACAACATACTGTACTCTTGTGGTTTTATGATTATTTTGTGCTTGAAATACAAAAAGGAAGCTTTTTATTAGGATGCCATAAAGCTGCCATAAGTAATCTTTACTACATATTTATGGATCCACTTTGTGGGGTTATTCATGATAAAACATCACATTTTGGCAGTGCCCAATACTTTATTTTGCATATCATTACGGTAACCCTTTAATTATTTGAACACTTGTGGTGCACATAATTTAAAAATCAGAAAACGAAATATAAAAGTGCACTCTAAAAAATGCTGGGTTGTTTTAACCCAACTTTGGGTCAAATATGGACTAACCCAGCCGTTGGGTTAAATTTTTACATTACATTTTTAACCCAGCATTTTGGGTTTGTCCATATTTGACCCAAAATTGGGTTAAAACAACCCAGCATTTTTTAGAGTGTGAACAAAATAAAAATATAAAAGTGACATGTAGTAAAACAATGCTTCATTTTGTCTTTTAATATGCTGATGACTTTTAACCAAACTACCAGATGATTTTTAGTGAATTTAAAAAGTTTGCAATAATGGTTCAAAAAGGTTTGACTTGAAATAGTGTACAAATGCGAATGATAAACTTGCCATGCTCTACATTGCCCTTTAATCTCGATTGAATTCACACTCCAATATAGCCTCAAGCGCTTTTTTTTGCTCTTATAATACATTTATGTATTACCTATACTGAGGACACACATTTTTATTTATAAATACAACACGCGAATTGTATAGTATAATTGTATAGTCGTGTTAATTCGTGAAATCATCCTGCCGCGAGAAGATGTAGTTCCGTGCTGCGCATTGATATTTTGTAAACTTTCTCATTTAGTGTCATAAAGTGTTTTTTCTTTTTTCCGCAAATCGGTGAAATCTGGTAATTTCAATAAGATTTCACACGATCTGGGATCAATTCGGGTGAGGGCGAAAAAAATCTCAACAAACTTCGTAAAAGAAATAGCGCGAATTCCGAGACAACAAAAAAGCTGATTGTTTTAAAAGTGATATTTTATGTTTTTATACATTTTGGGGAAAAGTGTGCTTTTACCTTTATTATTTATTTTATTTTGTCGTTGCCGGGGTTTTATATTTTTCTATAAAGTGTCACTGAATTTGAGTCGTTTAGCCTACATTCAGCGTTGTAAACGGAGGTTAATTGTCGCCAATGCCCCACCCTACTACACAGAGCCCTTTCAAATAAACCAGATGATAAATATCAATTTAACCTCTTATATTCGCTACTATACGCGTTAACACGGGCGTTAAGCAGGCGTTTTGTGCGCGTTAACAGGCGAGTCGGTGAAGACGCGTCGTCAGGTGCTGCAGCGTCCATAAACGCCCACCTAGAACAGCACCAGACGAGATATAGAGCTCCGCTTACATCCGAGGTGAGCATCTCCATCATATGCCATTGATTCATTGACGGGTGCTTGTCATTTATGGATGTTTGTCGGTGAATGTCGTCCGTCAAGATGTCGTTATTGTCTCAATGACAGTTGTGAATGAGCTCGTGTGTTTACAGTAGGCTACATGGTCAATATAACATCATCTGATTATGCAATCATATTTATGCTTGTGAATGGCGATAGATGCAAAATGTCACTTGCATTTGGACCTGTTAAGTTGATTCTGTGACGCTTTTAACAATGTTCTTGGCAAACAAATGAGACGAAGGCTCGAAATTATGCATTGGCTTATGCATCAAGATGATACATAGACCCCACAGCTGGTGGTCCTGTTTTTTTAAATGTAGTGTGTGTGTTACATTTTGCTTATTTAAATGTAACAGGGCTGACACCAGTCTTTATTCTTGTCTAACCATGTGCGTGTGTGCATATATAAATAGTATATATATGCACACACATAGCCATGATTTGTTTTGCTCATACCATTTTCAATATTCACTAATAGTTACTAGGTTGACATCAAATATTATTTAAAAACCTGCTCAATACAAGAATAAGGGTTGAGACCAGTCTCAACTCCTGCTTAAACCTTTACCTGCATTTATACTTATCTCCATGTTCACAGATGGCAAAAGCAGACCAACGCTTTGGGCAGAGAGATGGATCTGATCAGAACTTTGACTACATGTTCAAACTCCTGATCATTGGCAACAGCAGTGTAGGAAAAACCAGCTTTTTATTCAGATACGCAGATGACTCCTTTAGCAACTCTTTCGTCAGCACAGTCGGCATCGACTTTAAGGTGAAGACCGTTTACAGGAACGAAAAGAGAGTGAAGCTCCAAATATGGGTGAGTGCCGTAGCAGGATTATTGGTGTATTTAAATCCCTAATATTGCATGAATCGTGCATGAAAATGATGAAATGTTTAGCCCCAGATTGTTTGTTGTTCAAATGTGATTGGCTGGCATGATTAAACTCAAACTGCATCCAGCTGCAGCCATCCTCTTCCTTCCACATTCACCTTCTATCAGCCTGTGATTGAGAGCCATCTTTTCTGGAGGAAAAGAAAGCAAGCGCCTTCTCCCCAACACATGCATCATCGATGCTGGTTGTCATGGAAGCAGCACTCCATACTGCTCCCTGGCAGAGAGAGATCCTCATAGCCAATTAAAGCAGCCCCTGAGGGTGAGGGGGCGGGCAGAGTTTTCGAAAGCACACAAGCGCCGGGGTGACAAGTATGACACAGCCACAATGTGTGATCATTCATAATCTGGGTGTATTGATCACAAGGTGTTAAAAATAGGCCCTCATTCAAAACAGCTGCAGGGAAACTGACGCCAAGTTGAACCAAACAAAATGGGCTTTGAATAATCAAGGGCCCAAAATAGAGAAATTACAACCTTTCATTTAGTTTGTCCTCCACATGCTTGATAGCTATTCCATTCATGGAGCATTGAAGGTCATGATACGTCACACTGTTATAAATAAAATGCCACCAAGGTTTATATTGGGATAAAATTAATAATTGAATAAAAAGAATATTGTAAATTACGATTAATTTATCATTTATATTTATATCTTTGTACTTAAAATAATAATAGGGAATAATCTCAATAATAAATTGAGATTAGTTTGTAATGAGATAATTATAGCCTATTTTTAAATTTTTCTCAATAAATACAAAATAATGAAAATAATTGGAAGGATTAAAAAAATAATAAAATTAGTTAGTAGGTAACCAATGCACAATATACATTTTTTTAAAGCACATTTAATATATTGAGATGATATTCTGGTCTCTAAAGGGCCACAAAGGATATCACAATGATAGCTATAATGATGAAATTTGAATAATTGTACTAATTCTTTGAATATTTGAGACCTTCTACGAGAAGTATAAGGATAACGACACAGAGGAATAATAACATTGAAATTCTGTTTTGAAATTTGAGCATTTGAAAAAAAAAAAATAATCCAACTGATGAATGATAAAAACATTGACAGCCAATTCTTTAAAGAGCTCTATCATTTAAAGCAGGTGAAGACAGAACAACAGAAGTGTTATTGTCTGTCTGTGTGAATGCTAATTTAGTTATTGTTATAGTTATCTTTACAGTTGTGCGAATGGCCTGAAATCGATGTGATTTTTCCAAAACATGTCATTTTCTGTGTTGTCTTTACTATAGGATACAGCTGGACAGGAGCGGTATAGAACTATTACTACAGCTTACTACAGAGGAGCTATGGGCTTCATCCTTATGTATGACATCACAAATGAAGAGTCCTTCAATGCAGTGCAGGACTGGTGAGCAGTTTTAATCTGGAATCCACTGATAAAACTGATAAAGTTAGATGCCATAAATAGAGGTCGACCGACCGATATGTTTTTTTTCACACCGATGCCGATACCGATCTTTTGAAATCCGGGTCGGCCAATGGCCGATTAATGCTGCCGATTTATTTTGGCCGTTATTTGCTTGGTTTTTAACCTCTATTTGAAAGATAAAATGTAAAAGAAATGATAATTACTTAACATAGACGAACTTTCTCAACAAAAACATTTTATCCTCTCAAAAAATGTCCTAAAATATGTATTTTTGGTTTGTTTTGTTTGTTGATGGACAAAGATAAATAGACATAACCTAATTATCACAAAAAAGGAGAAAAAAAACTTTAAATTTTTATTTTTTATATAAAATATATTTTAGATATTTTATATTATATATTTTATAAATATTTTATATAAAAACTTTAATTTTTTATATATAAGATTTATTATATTTTATTTAATTTAACTTCTAACAATAACGTATTTCACTAGTAAATTGCTGTTGTACGACAAAAACAACCACTAGATGGGAAAATTATATTTTACAAAAACTTAAATGCACCACAACGCACCGTCTGTTGTTCTTCAGACAAAGGCATCCCGCTAGTGGACCTTTCAGTCTACAGTGAAATACAGTCACACTTTACACTGTTTGGCCAGCATTTTAACCCTGTTTAATCCAGCTACTAACTAACGGTCAGTGTTGTGCCTGAACGCGTTCATATTTAGGTCTGCTGCTCACTAGGCTGGAAAATGACTCTAACGGCAGCGAGCGTCAAACATGTGTTCCACGACAACACTAGGCTGCCCACAGATGCGCCTGCCTAATAATCGGCTTGACATACTTGGATATTGGCTGATGCCGATTATGTTAAAAAATGCCAAAAATCTGCCTTTTAATTGGTAGACCGATTAATCGGTCGGCCGATTAATCGGTTTACCGATTAATCAGTCTACCTCTAGCCATAAATTACCTTTTCCTTTCAGGGCAACACAGATTAAGACCTATTCATGGGACAACGCTCAGGTGATATTAGTGGGGAACAAATGTGACATGGATGAGGAGAGGGTGGTGGCTTCTGAGAAGGGGAAACACTTGGCTGACCAGTTGGGTAAGTTGCGTGCCCAATCTGCAGTTTTTGCTCTTTGTCGCCATCTCTGTTTGAAATCTGCAATTGCAGTAATTTGCGGAATTATCAACTTTATTTCAACACCCTCGACACGGCACAGCGTGGATGAACACAATGTTTGAGGAGAATGTGTGGCCTGCTTTAATCCGATTCATTTTGTATTTGTATTCTTCCTCTTAGGGTTTGAGTACTACGAAGCCAGCGCCAAGGAGAACATCAACGTCAGACAAGTATTTGAGCGCTTGGTCGACATTATCTGCGTGAAGATGTCTGAGAGAGTCGATACGGATCCACCCATAGTCACCGGTGCCAAAACCACCCGACTAACCGATAAACCTCCCCAGCTACCTCAGAATTGTTGCTGATTTCTCTCTCTACTCATATGCCAACCTATCAGCAGCGGATCCGATGTCGTTTGGTTTAACGTTCTGTTGTATGCCGATCGGAACCGACCTGGGGTGCGTTTCCTGCGCAAACAACGTAACTCACTGCTTAACCACCATAGTATGATGCATCGTTAGAGAAATTAACTTGTTAGTCACAAATATTTTCTGCATGGTTGCACTTCCATAGTTTGAGCCATGTTGGGTCAACAGTATAGGAAATGAAGTTAATGACGTCACACACAGGTAGTGGAGATATAACTTCTGCTAATGAATTGATTTAACATCGCTATTGATGACAGATTTTTGTAATTGCCGTACATTTCACATTTAATTCGGTCGGGAACTTTCCCACAACGTAATTTTTCTCGGAGATGCCATCACTGTAAAGAAAAACAAAAAAGTTGCTGCCTTAAATTTTTAAGTACAATCAACTTGGATGTTTAAGTCATTTCAACTTATATTACATTAAACTGACTTTTAAAAACAAGTTGAATCTTGTATAACTTATAAAAAAAAACTTGAAAATTGCAAATATTTTGATATGGCATCTGCCTGAGGACCCCTTAAATATTTTTGTTCCCTTCATTTGATGTTTGATTCATCGCGGTTAATCCAAGGTTCTCCTACGCGTTTATTCACACTATACGCTAAAATTAAATGTACATGCATTTAAATTTCATACTAACAAGAAACTATGCTTCAAGCCGCAAGTCGAGAGCTGTAGTTCTAAACTCGCAAAGTTGAGTTGCTTCGTTAAAACTATGTTGGTAAATGATTTCGCGACTTGCTTTGGCTAACGATTGCGTTCGGGAAACGCACCCCTGTTTGTTTGTAGCTGTCAAACATGTGAAGTAGTTTAGTAATAATAGTACACTTCTACCCTAATCAGTCCTTAGGAAACTTAACGCAGGGACTAGAGCAAAGCACAAAAGCTACTACTTGGCTCCCAGAACTTCAGTGTTCACTGCCGAATCTAGATTTAAAACGCAATCTGTGGTGGCACAATCTCACTCATTTTATGAATTATATATTTAATGTAGTACTTTAATGGAGGTAAAATGGTGGATAATCTGTTAAAGGGCACAAAAATAAACTCAGACTTTTGCAAAATGGCCATTATGCAAAATTGAGTTTTCAGGGTGGTTTCGATGCTCTGATCTGATTGGATCAGAAGCAGATGCACATTGTATGTTGGACTCCATCTATTGTTTTGAGAATATAAGCACTTGTTCAAGGTATCTTCATTTTGAGATGAAAAAAAAAATGATTAGATACGCAAAATAAAATTCAAGTCTTACACAAAAATACGACATTAAATTCATGTTAAACTTAGTATTGTCAGAAACCACATGTTACTGTTGTGTGTAATAATAGACTGGACACAATCAGCACATTTCATTGTCAGGCATTGTTACAAAAGATATGATTCTTCACTTAAATCCTCAAGAAGAAAGTCGAGATTTATCGTGAACTCGTGCCAGGATGTTTATATTTCAGAAACCTGTAGCAAATCCTTGTGGGTTCGTGTATGTATTATCTGCCTTGGTTTTTTTATCAAGTGATGTATGAGTGTTTAATGTAATTATAGTCAAAATTATTCCAAATGAGATATTTTTTCCCCCCCACGAGTAGATATTTATTTTTATGCTGCTGGAATATATAGTTGTACCTTTGCTGTCAGTGGATTTTGATTTGTAGATTTGCACTGGGGCGTACAGTGATTGTACAGTTGTGAATGTTACTTTTAGATGCAATTTGTAACAATAAAAGCACAAATCACATATAATAATGCTAATATTCTTGTACTGTGTCTGTCATTGTATGTGATACTGATGGCCAGTATATTGAGGATACTGTAGTATATGGACTATATATGATAGCAAACAAAAATTGCTAAAAATGAAATAAACTTATTTGACACTATATTTACTTAAAAGTCACAAAAGACACTTATCCTTGTTTTTCACATAGTGTAAACGATTAAACCTTAATTCATTCGTTATTTTGTTATTCGAATTTCTGTAGCAGTATTATTAGAATTTATTAATATTACACTGTATTTTTATTTTAGTTTAAATTTTAGTACGTTTATGTGCTTCTTATTTTTTATTTCTATTTCCCATTCAATTTAGTATTTCAGTGCTAAAGTAAGTTTTTCATCTTATATTCATATTTTATTTTAATTAAATGATTTTTAGGTTTACATTTAGTCAACAGCAACGTAGCTCTGATGAACCAGAGCCGAACGAAACAAACTGTTTGGCTGGACCAATCACATTGCTTCTTATGCCACGGTGTATCAGCCAATGAGATTTCATTGTATTAGGTGAGCTCAACATGAGCGGCAACGGCGCAACATCCGTAATCCATTCGACAACAGAAAAGAAGGTATGCTAAGTTTAATTATTAAAACGTTTTTTTAGTGCTGTGTTGTCTTAACGAAAGCCCTGAAAGGAATTAGTAGCTACCAGAGCCCGTCTAACTGATTAAAGACATTCTCTGTAGCTACTGGAGTTTTGATACAGAAGATGACGTAAAGTGTGTTCGTGACAGGTGTCAATAATGTTAAATCCTTAAATCTAGTGCGTGTCTGCGTTTTGACACTGGTAACAGGTGGTAACAATAACACTGGTTTGTCACACGCAGTGAGATTGAGTCAAAATGCACAGAACTTGCAGTGGACCTGTCTGTGAAGTGACCGGTCCAGAGAGCGGAGAACCTCCACCAGTCTCCTGGCCAGAGTCTGGTCGAAGTGACCCGAGAATAATCAAATCACCAAACGACCCGAAAAAATACAGGTAACAAGACATTTTAGTAAAAATATCAACAACAATAATAATGTATGAAGGTTATATATATATATATATATATATTATGACAATTCAGTTGTTATTAATTACTATTATTATATTTACACACACACACACACACACACACACACATATATATATATATATATATATATATATATGTGTGTGTGTAAATATAATAATAGTAATTAATAACAACTGAATTGTCATAATCATACTATTAGTCTTTATATTAATAATACTAATAATAAATGTATAAATATATTGTTATAGTTCACATATACATTGCATAATTGTTACTAGTAAATATTATATAAATAAAATATTAATTAATAAAAAATATTTAAACCATAATATATTTAATATTTAAATCTGATTTATTATGGATATTAGTTTATTTTATTTATATTATTATTATTATTATATTATTACATTTATATTTAAAATTATAAAATTATACATTTTGAAAAAATATATGATTGTTTTATTTGTAATTTAATAATTCAATAATAATTATATTATAGTATTAATAATATGTATATTATTTTAAAGCATATATATAATAAAATATGATTTTATTCATTTTTATTTTTGTTATATAAAATTATAATATCAAGTGTATTTTTTTAAAATAAATGTATTAAATTGTTAAATTGTTGTCATTTTCTTTTATTATTATCAATATAAAATGTATTTTTGAAAAATAAAATATAAAAAAATGATTAAAATCATGTTTTGATACAATTTTTGATCTTTTTCTGACTAAACCTTTTCCAGGTACATTGAGCTGAGCAATGGACTCAAAGTGCTACTCATATCAGACCTCGCCCAATCAGAGAGTGGCAAAGAGCCAGCTGACGAAGAAGAGGAAGAGAATGTAGACAGTGAGAGTGCTGATGAAAACAGGAATGACATGAATAAATGCAGTGAAGAGAGGAAGAAGGCTTGTCGTTCAGAGAAACAGGTGACTTTCAGTTCTTTACAGTTACTTCATTTATAAATAGATATAATACCCAATATCTATATTCTCTCAGTCCGCAGCTGCGCTCTGTATCAGCGTCGGAAGCTTCAGTGACCCTGCGGATCTACCTGGTCTTGCCCATTTCCTCGAACACAGTGCGTTGATTGACAGCAAGGGGTCATTTATTTTATCCTTACTTTTTTATTTCCTTTAAATTCACATTGTTATTTTTCCAGTGGTCTTCATGGGCAGTGAGAAGTATCCAGACGAAAATGGCTTTGATGCTTTCCTGAAAAAACACGGGGGAAGTGACAACGCCTCAACGGACTGCGAGCGGACCATCTTCCAATTTGATGTTCAGAGGAAATACTTCAAAGAAGCACTGGATCGGTGAGCTAAATATTCAATTATCAATCACATATTCATTTATTTTAGGGTGAACTGCCCCTTTAAAAACCTGCACTTGCATTATTTGTCCACAGGTGGGCGCAGTTTTTCATCTGCCCCCTGATGATTCCTGATGCAGTTGACAGGGAGGTGGAGGCCGTAGATAGCGGTCAGTAAAAACACGTCACGACTGCACTGCTGACGCGTGTCAACGTTAAAAATGAAATGTAATGTAGCTAAATACTTTTTAACAGAGTACCAGATGGGCCGGCCATTAGACTCGAACCGGAAAGAAATGCTGTTTGGCAGTTTAGCAAAAGCCAATCATCCGATGAGCAAGTTCTTCTGGGGTCAGTCACGTGTTCATAATGTTCATAATGCCAAACAAGAGATCGATGCTCATGATATTTGTCCATCCCTTGATATTTCACCAGGAAATGCTCAAACACTGAAAGACGAACCCAGAGAGAAGAATATCAACACTTACGAGCGTCTGAGAGAGTTCTGGAGGAGATTTTACTCCGCTCATTACATGACGCTCACTGTGCAGTCCAGAGGCAATGAGAACAAGTCACTTGTCTCTGAATGAATACAGTACTATCCTCATATTCACATCAAGGGTCTAATTTTGGACATTTTATCCTCATAGACAAACTTGATACCCTGGAAGAATGGGTGCGAGAGATCTTTATTAAGATCCCAAACAAGTACGTATGCCAAACAGTCATATTTCTTGCCATTTGTGTCACCCAGGATTTATTTGAATGACATTTTTTCACAGTGGCCTGCCACGGGTGAATTTTTCAGACCTTCAGGATCCATTTGATACCCCAGATTTCAACAAGCTTTACCGAGGTAGCGTTGGATTTCAGATTGAATAGGTTACCTAGAATCTTTTTAAAAAGCTACATTGAACTTTAATGTAATATTATAAGTTTTAATTTAGTATGTAATTCAACTTTATATTTAATTTATATTTAATAATAATAATAATTAATAATATATAGCATTATTGTTGTCATTAATTAGTAATATAAAATTAATATTATATTAATAATCAGACATGAAAATCACTCACCTTTCGGCGAAATTCGCCGTTTTGAAACCAAAATAAGTGACCTACGTGAATCGTGTAGATTCGATGAGAAAATGTTTTGAGGGAGGGGGGTTATAATAATATTAATATAATATAATAATATTAGATAACTATATAATAATTAATAATATTATAATTATAAACAAAAAATGTAATACAATTACATGATTTATATTTAATATTTAATTTAGTGTTATTAAATATTTGTTGAAATCTAAGTAAATATGTCATATAATATTTATTTACATTTCAAAAAAATATTTAATAACACTAAATTAAATATTAAATATAAATCATGTAATTAATTGTATTACATTTTTTGTTTATAATTATAATATAAATTTTATCAATTTATATTACTAATTAATGACAACAATAATGCTATATATTATTCATTATTATTATATTATAAAACTAAATTAAATATTTAAAAAATATATATATTTATAATTACATTTTAATATAATATTATGTTTCCATAAATTTATTTAAATAATAAAATGAAACAATTTATTTGAATCACTTGGGTTTCATTTAATGCTGACTAGAGTTCATACTGAATATCATTATGTATGATTCAGTGACTGATACAAATGAGGGAATTTAAATGGAAGCTTTGATAACTACATGCGTCATTTTCAGTGGTGCCAGTGAGAAAGGTTCATGCGCTGACCATCAGCTGGGCTCTTCCACCTCAAGGCAAACATTACAGGTCAGTAACACATCCTGACAGCTGTCAAAATCTATCCACCATGTAAAAGTGTTTTATCCTGCTGAGGTCAAGATAGCAAAGCTGGTGCTGGTGGCCTCCAAGCTTCTTAACCAGGACATAATGGCATAATAGTACAAGTTTGCGTTAGGCTAACGGCAATAAAGACTGTTTGTGTTTGTACATGTTGGTATTTAGAGTGAAACCCCTGCATTACATTTCCTGGCTGATTGGTCATGAAGGAGCTGGAAGTGTATTGTCTTTACTCAGAAAGAAGTGAGTTTGACTTTCTGTTCATACTTATCACTAATGAATCGGTTTGAATCGAATTTTATGAAATGAAATGCTCTGTATCTGAAGGTGCTGGGCTCTCGGTCTGTTCGGAGGAAACAGTGAGACGGGTTTCGATCAGAACACTACCTACTCCATCTTCAGCGTTTCAGTCACCCTTAGTGACGAGGGCTTCCAGAACTTCTTCCAGGTGTGAAAAAGCCTTCATGTTGGCTTAATTAAGTCCTCAGTTGCTCTTATGTGGTGTGAATCCTTTTATTCCTCATTTTTTCTTTATAATGAAATGTTTGTTGTGGTTGTAGGTCATTCATACAATCTTCCAGTATCTGAAGATGCTTCAGTCTATTGGACCTCAGCAGAGGTGGGCAGCAGATCATTGAAACTTAATTAGAAGAGGATTTCACTGCCTGATATAGAACATATCACAGAATATGAAATCGTTTTTACAGTAAAAATGGTTCTTGAGAAGAAAAGAACCTTGGTTTTGATAATCCTGTTGGTTTTGTTAAATGTTGTTGGTTATGCGTTTTTCTCAGAATCTAT